GTCTTCGTCTTACTTTTACTTTTCGCCTTCTTATATTTATTATAAATATATCGCCTTGGACGATGTTGATCAGGTGGTGGTGAATGATGTGTTGGTGTTGTTGTTTTTGTTTCTTTCTTCTTCGGTCATGAAGGACGTTTCAATGGAATTAATAATTCATCTGACGAATTACCTCGTTTTGAGACGACGGTAGCAGCATTTATCAGTTTCTGTTGTTTCTGTCTTTGATAATGTCGTTGACGTATTTTTGTTAGCTCACCCATATCGAAATGAGATAATCAAATATCCTCTTCGTCTATTTCTTTTGTTTCTTTATCATTCTCACCGTCTTTATTACTGTTATTATCATTGCCGATTGAAATAGATGAAGCACTTTGTTTCGAAATAGTTGAATATGATGATATTGGTGTAGAAATCGAATGTGACGGTGGATCCGTGGATTCGGTTGAATTCTGCGCTGAAGGTTTCTTTAATGATCGTTTGACCATCGTAGAAAATCTGAAACACGTAAAAATAAATAAAAAAACCCAATTATATCCACTATTTTTTCTGATTTTATTTAACTGTCTAAAAAAGCACAACTGTGGTCTAGCCATCAGCCGCAGTGTTTCGTTTTCCTGGAGTAAAGTCCTAATCAACTTAAGGAAAAAATAATAATCTCAGAATACGTCAACAACTGCAGGCTGGTTGAAGAAACGACAAAATAAAAAAGGACAACAGATACAAACTGCAAAAAACATTGGACAGATGTTCTAACCTGACCTGCAAACATTCTTATTACTAGCAAATTGTAGAGTGCTACTTTGTTAAGTTTTAAAAGTGTTTAACAGTGTTAAGTGTTTTTATTTCTTAAGAAATGGAAACACTACCTCAATCTTTTCTATTGACTCTTTGAGCTGATAAAATAGAAAGAAAAGCCAAACAAGAAATAAAAAATCGTTAAAATATCGACATCAGGGCACCCTCTAAATAATCTCACATTCTACTAAATTTTCTTATGCATTCATATCGAACGTTTAACCTGTAAAACGGTAACGGTAAAACGGTAACCTTTACCACTGAATGCCTAATAACTACGCAACAGCCGCTTTGCATGTTAACTTAATTTTTACAACAGTTAAAGAAAACTTGAACAAACTTCAAAGAAGCATCGATAAATCTCAAGTCACAGCAATAATTTTCGAATTACGTACTTTAAAGCATGAGCTATCAGACCAAACCTAACACTCTGCTCAACAAATCTGTTCAGGGTTAACGATGAATTCGAAATTAGCGATTCAAACTTGCGGGCTACTTTCAGTAAAGCCACAGAGTTTCAATCGCTAAGCTGTATGTAGAGGAATTAACCGTCTAGGAATTCAAAAGAGAAAGAATGTTTTGGGAGTGCCACATAAACCTTCGACTTAGCATGAACTGCATTGATGTGTGAATAATGTTGCCCATTTTCAAGTTGCATTTCTATGTAAATAAAGTTGACCGTTTTTGCTTCCACAGGGCTAGATGTCATAATCAACTAGACTGCGGTGATATGAGCAAGTAGCTTTATGGTATAAGAGTGTAAAACTACATTCATAAACAAGAAACTAATTTTGTAGTTTTAAATTTTCGGGTAGCTCGAATTTCGGATAGCTCGATTCGAGTTTTCGGGTAACTCGAAGCTCGGTGCATACCTAGTTTGAACCGTATTGAATTACACGATTATATTTTTTTCATGTGCAGGCTCAAGACAGTACACATATTCTATGAAAAATAGAAAATTCGATTGCTAATGGAGGACACAAGATTAAGGTTGCAACATATGGGCTGTGCTTAGGACTATTATTGCTATGAGTTCCAGCTCTTTATTCCAGTGGAATAATGTGTTATAGTAAAAATACCAAAAACTCGAATTCACTAAATCAATCATATCTCGGAAAGGAAGTCGGATGAACCATAAATCCTTTTAGGCTATTTTTTACACCTATGTACCCTATCGATTTGCTTAAATATGAGCTCAAACGGAATTGGACACCTGGATAGGTTCCCTCGTCAGTTACCAGAAACGAATTAACTCTTCAGTTAATCGTCACTGGTAACTGAGTAATGGAAATAACGCATAATTTACTTTACCTAGTAAAGTAACACTGAGTAACTGTTTAAATTCAGCCTTAAAAGGTAACTAAGTAACTAAATAGTTACTAATAACGGATTTAGTTACTGGTTGCTAGCAAAGTAGCGGTAAAGTGCTACCGTATTTTAACCCTACGTGAACTATAACATGAAAGAATTCTGAGCAAAATACGATGTCTCCCAGCTCTCTATCGTATTTTTTCACCGGCACATTATTGTTGTTTCTCCGTTTCATTTGTGGATTTTTACGCATTATGTCGGTTCGTAAATCAACTGTAGTTCGGTGAAAATATTTCTGGTCAGAAACCAAAGGGTTGGTTTTCTAGGCTGACACTTTTAGTATAATGTTGTATGTGTAATTCTAGACTTAAAATGTCAGAAATTTGAGCTTTGAGTAAAAGTATTTTGTCGTTTTTTTTTGACATCATCGGATAGAATGCATCAAATTACATGGGACAATATTAGTCCTAAGTTTTTGGAAGTTATATTTTCGATTGAAAACTTAAAAAATTACTATTTGAAAAATAAATTTAGCAAAGTTTGGAAAAATGAGCCAAATTTTCATCTTTAACCTTATTTTTATTTTATGAAACTGCTTTGTTTTAATTTTCCATGTGAACAGCTAAATCGAACTATATTCTTTTCGAATAAGTAATTCATTTTCTTTATTTTGTTCCTTTTGTTTGAACTATACAAAAAAAAAATGTTTTAATTACATATATAAAATATTTCACACTAGTTGAGTTTATTAAAAGAAAAGTATTATAAAACAGACTTAAGTTAGAAACTAGATCGACGAGTCATGTATAGACTTTAATCTACTTCCTCGATTTGTAGACCTGATCTTTTTGTTGTTCCTTCTTGTAGAATTGTGATTAAATCGATATTAGATCCAATTGGTGAATTGATTTGTGTTTCTGTACCATCACCAAGTCCAAGTAATGTTTGCTGAATATATAATTCCCATGTTGAACCTAATTCCATATGCGTACAATATAATGCATGTAAATCACGTATTTTTAAAACATAATCAACAGCCATTTCACCACGTTTTACATAAGATTGCATTTCCGGTTCGATTAACTAAAATAAAAATTAATTAATTGTCTATCAACAAGAAAAAATTTAATTGCAATTTCTTACCGCTCCTGTATTGAAAAAGTTTCTAACATTTTCAGTGATATTTTTTATTGAATTAATATCAAGTGGAAAATTAATTTTTAATGATAATTTACTTTTGTATAAAAAATAAAATAAAATACAAGCCGTACAAATTAATTTGGTTACTTCATTTCGTATGTTTTCAGCTAAAACGAAATAAAAAGAATAATTATTGCTCTTTATCCAGTGATGTGAAAAAAAGTACTTTTTTTTATTATTTTTTTCGTCATACCTAATGAGTTTAATCCTTGTGCAATCAGCTGTTCTTCAACTATTTGAAAGTCAAGAGAGAAATAATCTCCTAACTTTGTTGAAAATGAAAAAGAACCATCCTGAATGAAAAAAAAACAATTCGATTATTATGAAAGGCAAAAACGACTACTTTTCAAATGAACATACTGGATTTTGTAGTTGAAATATATTCTCAATTAAACTAGTTGATATAAATGTTTCTTTCATTTGATTAAGTAATGGGATGTTATTAACTATAAAATAATTCATATAAACACAGAAAACCAGATATGACAATAAAAAATCAAGATATAATTACCACACATAATATTACTATAGTTTGAGAAACTAGTTGTAACACCAGCCGTTTCACCTTCAAGCTATGAGAAACAAAAACAATTAATAAAAAGAGAAAGGAAAACGTATGCAAAGTCAACCAATGCGACGGGTGACGCAGAAATAATGGTGTACTTTTCTGTGAACGTTTTCTCCAAATAAAATTATGTTCAAATACATGGTTTTAGTGTCAAAACATGGAAAACTATATTCTCTAAAAAAAACTCTCTGTATTCGATATTCAGATGTCGTTTCATTATTTGAAAAAGTAACGCAGGACTCCAACGGAAAGGACAGATTGTAGTTTTTTTATACTCGACCTAATTGAGTATTTAGTAATGTTTCTATGAGCTATGTATCACACCTATTTTGTGTAAAAGAACATGTCTGCATTTAATTAACCTCCATCAAAAAAGTTTTTTGCAGTTTCGATGCCTTATGAACAAGTGATCTAGCTGAAAAGATATCTACGAATCTGCATCATTTTCGTTCAGTTTCTACATTATTCAGAGAAAGGTTACTCAAAAGTCGAAAAGTCACTGAAGTTTGAATTATATGTCCCAGTTATGCTTCGTACATGTTCTTACCTAGCGTTATTTTTTAAAATAATGAACCAACATTTGAATATTGAATATGCACGATTTTGTAGAGCATGCATTTTTTCATGTTTTCACTCGAATATCATATATCTGGACATAATTTTATTTGAAGAAAAAAGTGTGCGATTATTTCTTGCACTGTCAGTTAGTTTTTTGAATTAAGACAATGTAACATCCGTTAGAATATTGAGTGATTCAATCCTCCATTACGACTTCCCCCTCTCGGCTCAGAAATCTATCTCCATAACTACAAGTCTCATCTGAGCAAAAAATTCAGCAAATACTGGGCATGTTGAGGCATCGACCGTCAAGCAGATTTCTGCTCTCAGAAAGCAGCTGGAGAGCTTGGAGTGGTTTTTGAAATATAAAATAAAGTAAGAGTAACGTAAAAGAGCCGAATTTTTGAAATTCTTTCGTTGATTTTTTTCCAATAGGTTTTCTCAAAAGAGTTGGAAAAAAGGTACGGCTAACTTTTCAGGAAGTTTATTTTTCTTCAAAAGTTAAATGGAAAATCAAAAATCTGGTTCTGTTAGGTTCTGCTGCTAAATCATCGCTTCAGTTTACGACCATCCCGAGCTCTCCACGACGTTTTCTTACTGAGAAATCTTCCGATTACGAATTGATATTAAGGTGAACGTCGCTTTGAGATATAATGGCGTCAGTGTCTGATGTATGTATATCAAAACCCTCATAACTTTTGATTAGAATGTCATCTAGAGGTGGGCGATGTCTCATTTTGATCAGAAATGCTCGCACTATGTCTTGGTGCCGTTGAAAGTAATTTTAAGCTTGTTCTTTTAGTGTAAGATAAACTTTTTCAAAAAGTCGGTTTTCCAAGGCGTCAAGAAAACTTATCTGAAAACCTCCGTACCCCTTCCATGAAGACCAAATAGCTATGAATTCAGATAGTAGGCATCATGGACTATCTGGTATTGTGCTTACTTCGATATCGACTTTTTATGAAAAATTTTGTGTTTCTGACCTTAAAGTATCAACTTAAGCAATATTAATAGATGAGCCTACAGATTTAGCTAAAATTTTGCCATTGTGTAAAGGGCATTTAGTTGTATATATTCGAAAGTAATTTCGGATGAGAAAAATAATGTTTAGACCTTCTTTGTTTGATTGTAGCCTTATTTTTAAAAAACGATAATGCATAGTACAAAATCCGGCAAGAAAATTACAAATTATGGAATGATCTTATCACAATAATGGATCAAAAAAAGGTCTGTTCCTGTATCAAATCTATACTCACCATAAATAAGTTTTGTGTGGCGTTTGTTTCTAAATAAAATAGATTAACAACTTTTTAGCTATTGTTTGGAAGAAACAAAAATAAACTTCGAAAGTGATTTTACCACGCAAATCATTTGATAAGTTAATATGTTGTTCTACGTCTTCCTTTGATAAACGTAATTTATCTGTAAAGTATGTTCAAATTGTTTTAACTAAAGAAACTATGTCAAATTAAAATTTACCACTCGTTATTTTAATTGAATTTTTTGTGCCGCATAATGTTTCTTCTGCTTGAACGAATAAATCGCCATTTGCAACAATATCCATTGATATTGCTATTCTCAATGCTCGAGGTGCAAAATTTTGTGATAAATTTTCTAATGAAAGTACACCCAAATATATCTAAAAATGATGTAAAGTGTTGTTTTTCTAACAAATAATCGAAGTGACTTTTGCCAAAGCTTGGGATCGGGTCTGGTCGGGTTTGAGTCAAAGAACAGTGGCCCGTTTCGGACACAGTTACATACTTTTTCCTGATTGGAATGAGCTAAAATCTAGTTAGCACGACTTACATTATGTTTAGTTTCTCGATGTTCTCCTTCGAAAATTTTTATAATAGCCGTTTTTTGATAGGGATATGCATTTGTAAATGAAGTACATTCTTGTTTTGTTGGTATCGTTGTATTTCGACGCAGAAGAGCAACCATTTTCCCACCTACTGCTTCAACTCCTAGTGACAATGGTACTACGTCTACTAACATCAAATCACAGACCCTTTCGGAATGATCAAATGTCTAAACATAAATTAATGCAAAGTTTTAAAAACAACAGATGCGTAGAAATCTTCGTCTTATCAATGAAGTCATGAACGTTACCTTAATTTTTAACTGTTGTGACTGTGTTTTCTTCTTTAAACTGCTCGCGCATATTGAAAACTGTGATGCTGCAGTTTGTAGAGCATCGGCTCGCATTTCAAGTGTTGAAAGGTGTGCATCACGTTCCAATAGTTGATGAAGATTGTCTCCCATAATGTTGATAACTTGATCAACATCAGCTTGCAAATTAACCGTACATTTTGAAGATTCATATTGTTGTGTAGTACTAGAATTATATTGTGGATTATCATGCGACATTACCATGCTTAATTTTTACACACAAAATATATTAAAATCTTTAAATGTAAGATGATGATTATCTCTGTGTTTTTTTCCGCAAATGCAATGCTTCATTATTAGCTTTATTAAAATAGATCATCGTAGAAGACTGCTCAATATTTTGTAACATAGAAAATAACCATTTGTGGGACTTACATGCTCTTATCGATAATCAAATAGTAACTTACATTGTGCTTGTTTGCGGTTCGATGCTAATATATGTTCCTTCATCACGTCTTGCCTAAATTTTATGATAACAGTGGATGAAAACAGAAGGTACTATAACCAAGGTGCACTTACATATGCAGCCTGTGCAGAGGTCACTTTTTTTTGGTCTACTAATGTAAATTCAGAGCCAGAGCCAAATGATTTCGTTTCAGGTTGAACCGACGTAGTTAAAACTGATGAACTATTTTGTTGCTTAGATACTGTTGGAGACCCAAACAGCATCGTACCACACGAGTGCGGTAGCACGGGTGGTGGTACTCGTGGTACAGTAGTCCTACTTGTGCGCTGACGTTCAATCAACGCCAACGATTCATCACGGTCATCTGTGATCAAATCTGATAGACAAGGTTCATAATCCGCGAACCGTTTTGTTCTATTTTTCCATGAATTTATAGGTTCCACAATTTCAAGATCCTTGATTTCTGACGATTTCTCAGCATTACTACTTCCTTCTTCTGATTGATTTGGTTTATCAGCATCTGGAGCATCACTGGTCCATAATGCAAGGTTGTCTCGCAGGAATTGCATCATGAGTGTGCTATCTTTGTATGAATCTTCATTTAGTGTATCAAGCTCAGCAATACCATCATCAAAAGCCTGTTTAGCTAAATGACAAGCATGATCAGGATCATTTAATATTTCATAATAAAATGTAGAAAAATTCAATGCAAGACCAAGTCGAATTGGATGTGTTGGTTGCATTTGGCTTTTGGCAATATCGAATGCATCGTTATATGCTCGTTGTGATTCTTCAATCACTTTTTGTCGATCTCCATCACCAGTTATAATTTCAGAAAAGTAACGATAATAATCTCCTTTCATTTTTAAATAGAAAACTTTCGACTCAATTGATGTAGCTTTTGGGATTAAGAATTTATCCAATAATATAATAACTTCTTGACAAATATGTTTCAGCTCTTTTTCAATTTTTTCACGATTTTCTATGGCCATTTGTTGTCTATATGGCTCTGAACCTTCAGACTTTTGTTCAATTGACGAAAAAGTACGCCATGCTGATTTTCTTGCACCAATAACATTTTTATACGCAGTATTTAATAAATTTCTTTCTTCAGTTGTCAATTCATTATTTGATTCTGCTAATTTTTTCATTGCACTAACCATATCATCATATCTTTCAGCTTGTTCTGCTAATTTGGCACGTTGTACTTCGTCTTCTCTCTTCCACACGGTAACAGCTGGAAAAAGTAAAAAAAACTTGTACTAAACAAAGACGCTCAGATATATTTCTTAATTCAAATTAGAATATTCCAGGTGCGATTAGAAATATTCCAGGTTCTCTTCAAGAATTTGGAGAATTCGACTTTACTGGATTTCTCAAGTGAAGTAAAGGAGTGAAAACATTGCAAGTCTCTCTCACAATAAAAGTCCCCCTAAATAGAAAACCTACTTTGAACTCATCTTGTAAAAGTTTAAAAAAAAGGCTCTATCTATCTAAATATTTACTATTGAAAGCTAATTCTCTCTTCCACTGAAGCAAGCATAACTGCACAATTCTTAACAAAATAGCTTTCTTTTAGAGACACAGTAGAAGATTCCCGTAACAACTTTATTCTTGAGGACAGAATGGAAGACGCGGGTCTTTCGTTGTGTCGACCCCTTTATGAACATGCCATTAAGGTACGGTGGGTGTTTACTGCAGACGGATTGACATTTTTTCTGTATCATCTCAGACTTTCAAACAAGAAAATGAATATTTTTGAAAATGAAAAAGACTTGTCCTAGTCTTAAGTAAGTTGAATTAGCGGTAAGATTTTGTTAGTTACTGATTAATTCGTTCTTCAGTTCAGTTCAGTTTATTTAGAAGCATTCAAGTTACATGACAAAAGAAATCTCTATAGAGATTGTAACGAAGTTCAACAAAGCTCTTATCTACATTATTCTGTCATTTAGAAAGTTTTATATTTCCCTAAAAACAACAAAGGGACTTGAAAAGTCGAAAACCATGAAAAGTTTTCATTTCGAAAAAGTTTCGAAAAATTCATAACTTTGTAGGAAAATATTTTTGAGAATGAGTAAGATTCCCATTTTGAAGAGGATACTTGATTCTGTGCGGGGACATCCCAAGTTGAATTTTGAAAATATTTTAATTTTCCGCTCATTAAACGGATCCCTTTAAGCAGAATATGCTTCACGACTAATATTAGTATTGAAATTCAAAAGTGCAACTGGTTTAGTCACCTTCAAATGTTGCATATTTATGTGTTAGAGAACAACAGAATGTCCAACACTTGCGAACTCTATCCTTCATATATAGCTGTATCGGGCGTACCACATGCACATGACCGTTTATTATTGTTATCATTATTATTCGCGAAGGCCGAGGTTCTTGAGTCAATCGTTCTTCTCCTTTCTTTCTCCGAATTCTTTCTTCTCCTCTACTGCAGTGCTTACACATAAAAATAGAGACTTTACAAAAGAAACCTCACCTCTATCGTCCGCACGTGATCTGAAAAATAAAAGACAGAGTTTATGTATTAAGAGATATGGGGCGTTTGCAAGCCATTTGTACCGATTACGACAAAAAAATAGCCTTGCATAGATCTTTTAGATTTCTGAACCAAATTCGGTGGCTTTTTAAAGTATATTGTGCATACTCGTGTTTCACTTGTCCGCTCAAATCAGCTTCTCATGGCTGTTCGTTCATCTGATGAAAAAATGATATTCACTTTTCGCCTAAAACTGAGGTGACACCTCAAAGAACGATAAATAAAAGCGTTTCAATGTTTTTCAGAAAGCGCATTTAAAAATTTTCTTTTTACCAATTTGTACTGCATACACAGATCTTCAGCTTCGCTCGATTTGATTGAATCATATCTTGGTTTAAAATGAAAATACTACAGGAGAAGAGCAAAAAATGTCCCATCATAGTGTGTCATTCACTATTCTCATTGAAAATAAATTCAAACCTTCATCAACTTCTGCCAAATATTTTCGCCAGTAATAGACATCATGGTGTAGAACAAGTGCATAAATCTTCAAGGTTTAACTCTATCTCATTCCCAAGAAAAGTAGAGAATTCTGCTAAAATGTACCGTCAGGACTCTTTTTGGTACATTTTTTCAAAACTTTTCAAACTATCATATTTCTTAGTCTGCATTAATCAAAGAAAAATTAATTTATGTGAAAAACCTAATTGAATGCTCTTCAATACCAAGTAAAGAAAATCTGTGCAATGAATTAATTACATGGTGTAAAAAGGTGTCCTATCATCAATGTAATGAAAAATTTGATGCAATGTTAACATTAATAGAAACATATTATTATTCATTGAAAAATGAAGAAAAAGCGTTCGAATTTCTTAAACAAATGACTAACGGTTAGTGTTTTCCATCAATCTGATAAGCAATTCTAGCTGTTTTTTATTTTGAATTTACAGATGTTATAGCTGAAATGAATGTTTCAACATGGGAAGAGCGAAATAAAATGGAATCTCGTCTACAGGCAATAAAGGAAATTTTCAATGAAACGTAAGTAGAACAATATATGGAACTACTGCAAGTCAATTGTACCGTTTAAAATAATTTTTTCTTGAAAATTAACATTCTTTTGAAACATTTTTACCAGTAGTAGTTGATAACACTAAATCCCCTAAAAGACCATTAGTTCAACAATGGAAGATCATGGCCTTCTATTTAACTTTCAAGTTATACAATCAACAGTGGTCTTCTAGTGAGGGATGGTTTTCTGTTATTGGGGGGGTACGATAAAAAATTCAGATAATTTCATTATTAGTACTTGATGTTTCAAGCTTTCAAAATGTATCAATTTAATGTTATATATTGTGGAATAGTCAAAATCGCAC